CAAGTGAAGAGTCTTTCTAGGACTTTGCTGTACCAACCTGCTGGGTTTCCTGGAGGTCACTCTATGATTCCTCACGAAAACTGGCCCTTAGAAACTTCTCATTCTCCTATTGATCTAACTCAGCCCAGAGCAATTCATCAAAATTGCTACTTACTCCCTTATATCTTTCTGTGGTTCAAGTAGCCACTGCTCTGGTAAGCACAGCTTTGTTGTTCTCTTTATTTGCCTGTCTTTTCAGATTTGGGGATGGAAGTCTGCCCTGCAAATTCAGTTTTCTATGGGTCCAAAACCATTGATTGAATTTCTTTTTTTTTTTTTTTTCAGTTTATGTTTGTAAGAATGACAGTGATAACTCATTTTCAAGTTTTTGGTTTCCATGTTTGCAAATAGTCAGCTTTCAGTACTTCAGTTTTTGTCATAATTTGTACAAATAATTTTATTTATTGTGTTTTTTTTTTTTGACATGGCACATAGGAATTGGCTTATATGGTAAGTATGTTACAAGCTTATTCCACAAGGCTTTTAGAATATAAATTTTAATACTACCTCAGATTTGAGAAATTTTATTATAATTTAAATCAACAATTTCAAATATACTTCATAGCATATTTTGAATCTTTCTGATTTTATGTCAGATTTTAATATTTTTAATAAAAATAACCAGCCTTTTTGAATAATGTTCTATGTGACTATGCAACATACAAGGCTTTATCTTGGTCATATAATTAATTTTGCATAAAAAAATCTGAGATAGGTATTTCTACCATATCTTATAAAAAATTCAGAAAGATGGCCTAACATATTAAAGATCACAAAGCTAATCATTAGCAGGAAAATATGAATTTAGGCAGTCTGATTTTAGGCTGTATTCTGAATGTGCACGTGGTATTGGGTCTCCAAAGCCCTTAACCATTAGCCACATGGATTCTTCCCTGTGGCTGTGTTGTGTGTGTTCTGGTCATGTGGTGATTACATAGTTGGTGCTGGTATTTAATGCTTATCTTGTACCCCTAAAAAATGGCAGGCATTCCTTACAGTGAAACCAAGATTTTTTTGCTAACTTTAAATACTAGATTATGAGTAAATTTATATCTGGTTTATCTTAATGTGCTATATAACTAATATAGATTTTTTCTATACAATTTTGATTATTGTAGAGTGTTCTTAACATTTTACTTAGTAATGGCATGTGTTTTATAGAGAATTTTCCATTCCTCTCTATATTGGATGTGCAGTTCTGTGTTTCTACTCCTTTTCCGATCTGAGATCAAGAAATATTGTTTGTTTTTTAACTTTCTAAATTAGTTCAAATTTATGACTTGTTTTTACCATTATATGTAAGATGTGTATCATTATAACAAATTCAAGCTTAAATCTGAAAAGAACATACATGTTTCTGACCTCTTCTTTGGAAACTGTTGAGCTACCGTATAAAAGCAACATACTTTCCTGGATGACACGGTCATCCAGTATAGAAGGTGATCTAGACTTGGCTAAATTATTGATAACTTAAAACACACATGAGTCTAGCCCAGGTTATCCAAGCTTGCTTCAGATGAGAAGAATCATGTGGTTGATTTGTAGACTTAGCCACACAGCAATAATAAGATTCTATGCTTTTAAACTTTCAAAGTTGGAGTCACAAAACATATCTCCTAGTAGAAATCATACACTGGATGATATGTATTATAGTTGAGCTTTATGAAGCAGATCTTTTTGTTCACTTGATCAAAGACATATAAAGGCTTTTTGTTTTTGCTGGTGCTGGGATTAAACCCCAGTCTATACACACGCTAAGCATACAGTCTACATAGACTTACAATCCTAGCCTCAAATAGACTATATTTAAATTTTTTCAAATTTAATTTTAAAGAGGGTGAAGCTAAAAATAATAAAACAGAACAAAGAAGGTCAGAAAAAACAATGTAAGTGACACAGATTGCAAAGCAAGACAACAGGAGATCTACAGTGGCTACCATAATGTGTCTTAATGCTTAAGGTTTCTTGTTACTCAGTTTTTCAACATAGATGAAGAATTCATAATAGTAATAAAATAATAATTCAAGTGATGAACATTCATATTACTTTCTGGGTAAGTTGCAAGACTTTTCTAAGTTCTAACTGCACGTGGAGTAGATCAGGAGGCAGGGTCCATTGAGATGCTATTTATAAGAAATATAATTAACATGAAAAAGAGTACATGGACTGAAAATCAAATGTGAGAAAACAATGCTCTATGTGACAGAGAACCAGAGAGTAACAGGGGCAACTAGACCAGTATTTGTTGGAAAGACAGGCTTTAATAGGTAAAGGAACACAATTAGAGATCAAGTCCAGGAGAGAGAAGGTTCGGAACCACTTAGTTAAATAGCAGGTTGCCCCCTCCAATTTAAAACCAAGGGTGTTGGTGAGACCCAAAAATGCACAGTGTACCCTGGGGGAGTGAAAGGGGAGGGACAGTCTTAAAAAAGATGGCAGGAGATATTGTTAATAGTGTGTCAGGATTTAAAACCCACATTACTCGTACCACTCTGCTTAGATAGATTTTATTCTTTTTTTTGATAGATTTTATTCTGTCCCAGTTTGTCTACTTGCATTAGATTTGAGGGCACAGACAGCTATCTCAAAAATATCAAGATATATCACAGTAATCATCTTTAATTTCCTGTTATCTTAATCTAGAGCCCTGCATGACTTACACTGTTTTATCATGATTGATCTTAGTTAAATATGGTTTGTTTGATTGCTGTTTGGTATTGACAGATTTTATTCAGAACTGATATGATAGTATCAAGTCTGAGAGTCTAGGCAACTACACTGAAGATGACAAGATTCTACGATACACATTCTGGTTGATAACTGCCTGTTTTTAAGTTTTATACTATACACAAAGTTGTGTTTTTATTAATACTTTTATGTAATGATGTATTCAATTATAATATGTCTGATGATATAGCCAATTCTATTGAAGATAACAAGAGACAACACAGGAACTATGGTAGAACTCCTTATACAACAGTCTTATCTGTCTTTTTCGTTTCATGTGTTTATAGGAATATGTTTTGTTTTGTTTCTCCCTCTAATATAGAAAGGATAGAAATACATGTTAAGACTCATGCATGTGTAGAATCTATAAACAGTTTATGAGAACTGATCATATGACCCATGATGAAATAAACAGATACTTTGAAGAAAAAGAGTCACTAAAGTACCCAGTGCTGATCCTGGAGGGTCATAATGTGACACCCAGCAATAGTACTATTCTTTGTTCAGAGTGATATTAGCCTGCTTGGGTTTGTTCAATCTCAACATAATTGAAGAGACGGAGAACTGCATGTATGTTTAAGTGTATAGGATTGAAAATCATATTTCTAAGTTTTTGTTGGAGAGTTAACAGAACTGGTTGCAGTCTCACTGTTTGAATCCCCACTTTATATGCTCCACTTTAGTATCTTGAATAACTATTTGTAAGAGGACAATATGTAATCATCAACTCGTGATTTCTTACTGTTTTTTGTTTTCTTTGAAAGTATGCATTATTTCTACCTGTTTTCTCTTTTATTTAGTCTTTCTTTAAATAAAATAAAATAAAATTTAAAAAGGCACTACAGTACCCAGTGCTGATCCCGGAGTGTCATGATGTGAAATCCAGCAATACTATTATTCTTTGTTCAGAATGACTTTAGCCTGCTTCAGTTTGTTTAATCTCAACATAAATGAAGATGTGGATAACTGCATGTATGTTTAAGTGTATAAGATTGCCAACCATATTACTGAGTTTTTATTGGATAGTTGAACAGAACCGTTTGCAGTCTCGCTGTTTGAATTCCCACTTTAAATGTTCCACTTTTGTATCTTGAACAACTATTTGTAAGAGGACAGTATGTAAACATTAGCTAGTGATTTCTTACTGTTTATTTTTTATCTGAACATATGTATAATGTCTACCCATTTTCTGTTTTATTTAGTCTTTCTTTAAATAAAATTGTGTTCTTAGGTATAAATAAATATTTAGGTCAGTCTCAAGTGTTTAAAACAGCCTTGCCAATATCAAATCTTTGTCATTCACAAATTCTTATCTTATACTCAGCAGGTTTGCTTTTGTCTTTTAGAAAGTTAGAAAACTACACAACTGTGTATGTCATTAGCACACAATACCTACATCTCTAACCACTGTGAATTATGCATAATACCCAGTCAATGATTTGCTGCCCTAAATACATTATAACCTGAGTTTTTTTAAAAAAAAAAGAATTCAAATTAAATATAGAGACAAATAGTTCACCAATATAATTTTCTACATCCAAGACAGCTAAGACCAGTGTTCTTGATAATTTAAGAAGTTATGGGCGAGCCCTCCAAAAATGTATAAGCCTGCCTAAAGTACTTTCAACTTTAGAAATATTGGCTCTATTTTTGTAAAGCTAGTATTTGGGTATCAAAATAAGAACTTTTATTCTAGTGAAAGAGAATCATTTATCATTATTTAAGACTAATTGCAGGACTCCAGAGCTGTGTATTTAGAGGCCATCCTTGCCTGTCACTGTCACTTCTTTGGAGCCCGTATACCAATGGTGGCAAACGTACAAGGTGCCACAGCGGCTGCTGAAGCTCTAGAGGATTTGCCATCCTGCCGCTACCGAGTCTGTAATCAGTTTTTAAAGTGGGTCCTGATGTTGTGCCTTGTAAGAAAGTATCATAAGATAGTGGATATTATATAATGTAATTTGTCTAAAATGTCTTTGATTTACTAAATCAATAACTAGACTTTATGTAAAGTGTGGGAAAATAGTTTTCAATCTTTAATGCTAGGTGAAGTTGTGCTTCTCTTAGGCTAATATTGTATGTCTATCTTGTGAGAGAATAATTTTATAACTGTCCATGTTTTCCTTTGGGGTTTTCCAGCCGTATGTGTGCATGGTTCTTGACGTGATTTACCCTATATATTTTTTCTTCTACTTTGCTTTATTAACTGACTACTTCTATTTAACTTTGTCTAGCTCTCAAGGGTCCATAAGCTGGGAACCTGGTCATCAAAATGGAAATCTGGGGAGATTTTGAGGAGGTGGAGTCTAATGACAATTCATCAGCTCTTTAGGGATATGACCTCAAAAGGGATTAAAATATTTCCCCACGGAATCCAGTTCAATTCCAATGAGAAATGAGAAGAGAAGATAAGAAAGAGAAAGCTCATCCTGGCCAACTCTCCTTCCCAATTTAAGTACGTTTGTTTAAGTCTACACATACATGTGAAGCTACTGCTGCCCTCACCAGGAGCTGAGCCAGCCAGGGCTTGCCTGATCTTGGACTTTCAATCTAAACTGTGGACTAAATAAACTTTTCTTCTTCAAAATAGCTTGCTTCTTGTATTTCGTGACAGTAACGAAAAGTTGACCAAGAGAACTAACATTTTGATTTAAGTTTGTTTGTCCTCTTCTCTAGTCTCACTGTTTTTTGTTTTAATGATACCTAGTTCTGTATGATTCCTCATACCCATTTTAGAACATTTTAGTCAACAATGTTACAATGTCAAAAGAATGTGTATTTCACAAAGGAATATTTCATCGTCATTTCCAGGTTTAAGTTTCTGGAAACTAAGCGAGTGTTGTTCACATTAGATTCGATAGTCAGATTGGCATTTGTTGGGACGGTATTAGTTTGGAATAATTCGTATGTATAATAGAATTAGAATCCTCTTTCCTTTTGGATCAGATGGTGGTCTGTTTTGGACAATTTTCCAAATATATGTGTACCTATGTTGCTCTGTAACTTAAAATAGAGTGATAAAACATGGCTAATTCTGTTTCTCTTGAGAAGTATGTTCTTTATCATAACAGAGTTAAGATTCTTGAAACAAAATTTTTTGTGAATAAAGTAACAGTGTGTGCTGTTTTGGAACTTCCTGTTTAACTCCTGAGTTATATTAAGTTGAGTGGCTCCAGACTGATATTCAGAAGCATCCCGGAATACACTAAGAAAAAGTTAGTGTTAATTATCCAATCAACGGGGCTGCTGTGGCTTAAATTTTATACTCAGAGAACCTTAAGGTTGCTAGACCATCTATGTAAGTAGCAACTTGTGGGGTTGTCAAGGTCTGGGCAGGCGTGGGAATAGTGAAGGTTTTGAATTCCACAAAGTTTGCTTTGCGAAATGCTTTTGGCTTCCTCTTAACCTTGACAAGGTGCCTCTTGGGTCCTCATGTTAGTGGGGAGAAGAGCTGTTCTTTTTAACACCCTGGATGGCATAAATACTAAAAGAAGCATTGGCCAATAGTAAGTCACTTCTGTTTAGAAAATGTGCAAGGAAGTTAGTTGCTCACAAAATCTTTGTGTCACAATCTACCTGGTGCAAATATAAGCAAAATGCAAAGACTTCTGGATAAATGGACTAGGGCAGCAACTGATGAACATGTATGTGAAGTTTTCATATACAAGAATATAACTTTATGTTCTGAAAGAGATGGATGACAATCACATAATTAGAATACACCTTCCTCTCGTAAGTGAGAAAACATTTGTTTTTCTACATTTAGAGCCAAGTAGTGGGAGAGCAAACTGTAGAACCCATGTTTCCTGATAAATGATCTGTGCTTTATATTTGTTGCTCATATTAAACACAGGTACTATCCTTATATTCCAAGGCGCTACAGTCTGACCCACCTTTTCCAACCTGTTTACCTCTCAGGTGCTACTAACAATGCAGTTTTACTCAGATACTCCCTTTGCTTGTGGGATCAATTTAGAAAAAAATTATTACTGATTTCTTTTTTCAGTAGAAAATGATTTTATACCTATCTCAGAGCTTTCATAAGTACTATATTCAGATTGAAATCAAGCAATGAGCTCTGTGAAAGAATTTATATATATATATATATATAGTCTTCCACCATCAGAGATTTTCATTCCATAATTGTTTAATTAAGTGAGGAGATAGCTGGGTGAAGAAAATTAGGTTAAAATTACAAATCATATTATCAGTTTTTATTGAAACTTTGAGATAATAGTTTAAGTCTAATAAACTTAGCAATGTTCCAAGAGATACTATTTGGCTCACTAGACAGCTTTTGTGTCTACCAGTAGCTTTGCTTTATTTTAGACATTATTCATTTGCACAAGCAAATTACTTTAGAGTTATTTATTACTTCAGGAAACCGGTACTTTGGTGGAATTTATATGCTGCCAAAGTACGTATTTTGATAATTGGTCTCTGTGTCTTTGTCTAGTGTATTATACATAGAACTTTATTCTGTGTCTACCATGTCATTTATCATAATTCTCAGCTGCTTAGTTTTAGAAGTTATAAAATATGGAAATTTGTCCTCTAATTTAATTATTTTAGTGAGGAATTAAGGTATTTATTCTAATTAATTAGTTTCTGATCTTTTTCTGACTGTACACAGAAAGAAAAAATGGAGTTAAATTTTTATGCTACCTAGTTATCTTGCATTAATCCAAACTTTAAAACGTTTTCTCATGATTAATGATATAACTGTTATTCTCTTGGTAGTTTCTGATTATTACCTGGGTGACATGATACTAATTGCAGTAGTTTTATAACAGAAATCATAAACCAGCTCTGAATTTCATTCGAAAGTTTCACTGGCTGAGGCTTTATATTTCTTGAACCATGTAGCAATACTACAAATACTACAGTCTTGAAAATTAATGGAACGTGAGTTGAGCTAGCATGATAAGTTCATGGTGCTGAGAGTCCAGGTTTCTATAAAACGGTGGCTCTACAGGTGTCAGTGTAGCACTCCCATCAAAGCTTGTGAGTAGAGCAAAAGAGAAGGTGATTTCCCTTCATTTTAAGAGTAAAAACATGCACACACACACACACACACACACACACACACACACACACACACCTTCTCAGGTCCTATTGAGCCCACTGTTGATGCATGGCTATTGTTTTGCATGAAGTACTGTGATAAACTTCAGCCAAATATTCGTGTCTCACATTCATTTCCACAACCATTTCAGAGAGGAAAGGCATACTGAGAAATAATTGGTAGTCAACGTTTAGAGGTTAGACCCTTTCGTATTATCTTTTTATTTTATTTTCTATTCAATTTTGCTTTTGTGTAAATTTTGGATAATTCATATTGGCCTTTAAATTTTTTCATTCTGCCTAATGTTGTGTCCTGTCTTCTACGAGACTCTTAAGTTCTGATATCATGTTTTGTAACTCTGAGGTTTGCATTTGTCCTGTTTTTATGGTTTTAATCTCTCTGTAGAAATTCTGTGCTTATTATTCATGCATATTGTTCTTTTCTACTGGTTTTATTAATGTTTGTTATAATGTAATCAAGAAATTTACCCATGGGATACTGAGATTTGAGAAACAAGAGAGGTTTATGAAAACTGCAGTGGTCAGTTGGTTTAAGCCATTGAAACAGCTGGCTACTGGCTGACTGACCTCAATTCCTTTGTTCTATTTTCCTGTGCATCCCTGTAGGAGCTCACAAAGTCAGGGGTTACCATGGATACCAACATTTTTGTGGCAATATCATCCCTTTGGAATGTTACAAGACCTTCTTACACTTCTGGCTGATTGACACACAGAATGTGGGCACCGGGAAGTTTGGTCTCCTTAACATAAACCCATCTGTTTCCTCTTTCTGTAGGTTTTATGACTAATTAAGGGAGAGGAAGAGGCCTTTTCAGAATTTGACCAAAGTTCACTCACTGTTTAAAGTCTAAGTGCTAGCTAAACATCTAAGCTATAATCTATAGACCATAATAAGTGAAATATTCAAAACTAGGCTTTGGGAGGTTTCAAAGGGGGGAAAAAAAGCAAATAGTGGGAGTTATGAACGCCATGACATACTAATGATAGCTGAATTGTTGTCTGATATTTCCAATAGTTAAGTCAGCTCAGTGTCTGGCTCAATTTTATTTTTGCAAAACTCACTTGTATTTCATTGCTGAGAGTGCTTGTATGCGTCTGAAATTTTTTAAACTGAGTTCTGAAATTATATGTAAGATCATAGTAGTCTGAGATTAATAGATGCTGCATCTTCTCCTCTCAGGCTATTAATAGTGAAGAATCAAGACAAACTAAACACTGGTAAAGGTGGGTTTGGTTTTATTGTGGCTGTAGATGTCGTTAGTTCATCAAACGTTTCAATTTTCTTACAGTGAGTTGCTGCTTTTTTGCCCTTAGCGTGGGGCTATTCGACAAGTGTGATTGTCTTTCTATTAATGCATTAAACACAATTTTTGACATAGTGCACACATTTGCACCACGGAAGTAATCTTGATGCTGTTGTCTCTCTTCTGGTGACTGCTGCTGTCCCTTCTGTGAGGCACGTGGCAGGGAGCCACAGGTGTCTCTAAGTTTGTAAGTTTCGTCTTTGGTTTTAGGCAGATTCTGTCCACCTAGAGCATAGTGACAGAACCTCATCAGCATTCCCAGCCTCTCCTTCTGCAGACAGTCTCAGATTTTCCACTTGGAAAATTTTCTTTTCCCCACCAAAAGAAGCAGAACTTTCTAACAGAGGCAAATTTACCTCTGTTTCCACAACTGCATTATATGCTGATGAGATCGGTGGCAGACAATTCCTTCCTCTTGTTGTCTGTAGGCAATTGTTTTCCCTATTCTTTGAAGAAAGCCCCCTTCCTGAAGGGCAAAAGCTTTCACTTCCTGCTAGTTACCCTGCAAGGAAAGAGACAAGGTTCTGCCGGTCACTCAGTGGCTTATTAAAAATTACATTAAAAATATTAAGACTTTATTCTATTGAGAACATATTGTAGACTAAGAATATGTCCCAATGCTTCTTGGAGGTACTACTTAATATCCAAATTTATAAACATTGTCATATTGGATAAATACATAGTTTTCAAATATTTAGCAAGATAATCATGTATTTCATATAGACATTAAGCACAAATTAATGTGATGTGTATTTAATCTCAGAAAATTTTTTAAAATCACAATAATAAAATATGTATAGAGTGATATGACAATGACCACATTTCCTTATTAAGCCACTTCCTCAAACAGTATATTTCCCTAATTGTATAATGGAAAAAACATAAAAGAGTGCTTTCTGATTGGATTGCATCATGCCATTTTTCCTTATTGTTACATCATTATAAGCCCAGTGACCGGAGTAGCTCGGAACTCTTATTTGTGAATTATGTGTCATTCATTGAAAGGTGTGGGTTATGCAGGGACTTCATTATTTGAACTTTGCATTCTTTTCTTCTTGGTTTTGTCATCAGCCTTATGAGCTCCCTCCTACAGACAGATTATAAATGCGCAATGATCATCTATCTATTGTTTTCTTTTATATATCATCAGTTGAGGGAACTGGAAGCTGTTAACATGTATATTATCGTTTACCTGACATGGTAATTGTCTATTTGAAAAGAGATTTTCCTTTTAATTCAGTTATATGTGCTTTAAATTTTCACATGAAAGAAAAGTAATAGATTAATCCATATTACAGACAGCCAACATATACAGCAGGTCACTAGAGCAGTAAATATTAAATCAGTAAAGCACAAAGACTTACTGTTCCATAAAATGGTATTGCGTACACACTGGGTTGTAGATGAGAATTAATGTTTAAAATAGATCCTAGCTTCTTAAGCTATTAACAGCTTACAAAATATACATCAGGCTTTTTATTTCCACTTTCTATTTTGAATATTAATAAAAAGTGCATACATTAGTTGAAGCTTAATACATATATTCATTTGTAGCTTAATTTATATCTCACAAAAGAGATTAAATCAAATTAATGATATGTCTTATTACCCACCCATGGAAATAGTCTTCATATCCATCTGTAAGAATCATCTCTTCTGTGCATGAAACAAACCTTCAGAAGCAGTAAGAATCACCCATGTGATATACTCTGTGAATTGTAATTAAAACATGAACTTCTCCTT